AATAGAAGTCAAAACCAAATTAAAGTAAGAGTATAATGATAGTGCGGTGTAAGGATATGCGTTGGAAGCGTGATTAAAAAAGTAATGCCGGTGTAATATATCAGTGTGATCAGTCAATCTTCGGTAATCTACGGCGCGCACTATGGTAGCCGGAGGAGACGGATGGCAATGTGGTGGTATTGACTCTTATTTTGGTCTCAAAATACTAATGACTACCTTTTTTCAAACGCTACCTATGGTTACTATTTTGGTATTTTCATAGTTTTTAACTCTTATCTAGAAAGTTCTCTCAATCTACTAAACAAGATATGACAAAAATATTATTGAGTATATCTTATCAAATATTTGAATTGATGAAAATATCCAAACAAACATAAATCTCGAGAGACTGCAATAGTGACTGGAAAATTTATTGTTGGACGGAACGAGTACAACATGAGTAATTCTTTTTTGAATTTTTAGATTATTTTAGAATACATTCTTTTTCATCCTAAAATAATTGTTTCACTTTTAACAAATTACAAAATCTTACTTCGAGGTATCTTCTAAAAAATTACTCCGTATCTTAAATCTTAAATCTCTTCACTATACTCTCGCATATGGCCCTATATGACCATTAGATCTTACATTTTAAAATGAAAAATGCTAGGGGTACACCAAATGGTATACCTCATTTGTCTCTCACCCCTCCTCCACCACATAAATGAGCAAATACTTTTTAAAAAAATTAAATTAAAAAAATTAAATAAGAATGAGTGGTGAAGAAGATGGTGGGGGACAAATGGGGTACACCAAACATTTGGTGTACCCCTAGCATTGCTCTTTTAAAATACCACATGCATTCTCATTTTTTCTTAAAATTTCATTTATTTATGTGTCTATGTGTGTGTGACACACACAGACACATACACACACACACCCCTTAATTTTTAATTTGTACTTTTTTCATCCAAAAAAATTTATTTATGCGTAATAGGTGGTACACTACTTTTTCATTCCTACTCTACCCTTACGTTGTTAACTCGCTTAACTTCACTCTCATTACTACTGTTATGAATTCACAATTGATTATGGAATTTTTAAATATGCAATAATGCAATGAGAAAATGGAGCTGCCAAATCTTATTGATTTTTTGAATTGCAAAAGTGAGACTCCCATAGTTTTCAGAACCAAACCGGTGATCGAACCGGTCAAAGTACTAGTTTCCTGGTCGGACTGGTGGTTCAAGTGGTCAAACGAGTGGTTCAAGCATATTTGAAAATTATATGTGTGTGTGTGTGTGTGTGTGTATATGTTCTAGTGAGAATGCGATCTTATGGGAAAAAAATGAATTTGGTGCTTTAGATTGTGAGATCTAAGGATCAGGATTGCATCAAAATTAGGTGCACCAAAATGGTTTGAAAATGCATCATGTTGAAATGCACTAAAATCCTTTTGAAAATGCACTATCTCAAAATCTGAGTGCATGATGCAATCTAAGCTGCACGATGCATTAGATCCAAAGGCTAGATTTTATTCTTATTTCTTTCAGCAAGGTCCATTCTCACCTGAACCGCCCTATACACACACACACACACACACACACACACACACACACACACACACACATACATACATACACATACATACACATACATACATACATACATACATACATACATACATACATACATATATATATATGGGTGCATTTTTCATTATTCAATACGACCAATTGTTATCAAATCGTATCATGGTATCAGAGCTAAAGTTTTCAAAACACCTAGCACTTTTTTTCCAACTAAGCACATCACTAGTGTCTATTCACGGCAGTCGACTATCCGACAGCATGCCGTCACCGACTAATCTCGACTAGCGTGCCTAACAACTACCATCCATATCCCTCTCTTTCTCTCCAAAAAAACCCCATTATCTCTCTCTCTCTCTCTCCAAAAACAAATTCGTGTGTATGATTGAAGAACAAAAAGTTTTGCATTTGTTTGTGTTTTTTAGAGATCGAGAGCATGGAAAGCGATAGAAGTGTAGAGAACTGCCCAAAAGGAGAAAAAAGGAACATCCATCAGGCTGTGGGGGCAAACGTTTCTTTAAAATCAACACCCTCTTTTTTATTGTTTCCCAGGACTATACTACGAGGTGAGCTATATTGCGCTCGACAATTCCACGTGACTTGTGTTTAGTTTGAAAAACCCATTCAGACCTAAGGGTTTGAAGTTCATCATTCATAGCTTGTCGCTAGTGTTTATGTTTTACTGCCTTCAAAAAAAGGTGTAGGCTCAACCTCTGCATTTATAGCTGTCAAAAAACATCTATGAGATAAAGAAGACTTGTCATAATTAACAAAATAGGAAATCACCAAACTGAATCCCTTCAAGATAGGATCCCTTCTTGCGCCTCTCTCTATTGTAACAAAGACCTAATGATGCAATTATAGAGACCACGGGGTCGNGAATAGGGGATATGATACTATATAACTTTTGTATCTTAAATACTTAAAAAAATTAAAAATTAAACTTTGGAGTGTTAGTCCCATGTTATGTTCATTTGTGGTTGGTAGTATTTTTTGACAAACAAATAAAATTCTTTAGAATTACTTGTATCTGTTTTTGTATTCTATTATAGCATCATGTTTGTCACCTTGTGAAAACCTATAGTTTTTTTAAAAATTCAGCTGACATATACTCCCTCCGTCCCCCATAGATTTTCTCATTAGCCCTTTTTATTTGTCCACCATAGATCTTCTCATTACCTTCTTTAACACTTAAAATACCACAACTACCCCCACTTACTTTATTTATTACATCTCACCTACCTCATTTAATACACTCCACCCATTTTTATTAAGGGTATTATGGTAAACTTTCACCTTTTTTCAACTCTCCTAAAAAACCGCAAAAAGTCAAAACGAGAAGATCTTAGGGGGGCGAAGGGAGTATATATTAGAGAAATTTACCTAAATAGGACAAAAACATAATTACTTTCCCAATATAAGACCATATGTTTTTATTTTCCCAATGTAAGACTTTTGGTCATTATCAAGTAGTCATTATTCAAGTAAATGTCTAACATTACTGGACATTATTCCTCCACTAGGTCATTATTAAGTCCTATTTAGGGAATAAAAAAGTTTAAGTCCTGCATTAAGAAAGTCATTATGTTTTAGTCCTATTTAGTGCAAATTTCACTATATATTATGGCATGCAAAGTTATTTCTAAAGGAGTGATGCGTCTTTAGAAGATGACTCAACTCAAACACTTGGTTAGATTAGTGTGCGTGTTTGGCTTAAAAACGTCTAGGACTTTGTCCTCGACCTCCGGCACCGTGTTCCAATTTCAAGAGCATGGGCAAGTGGCTTGGGCCTCTTGCCCGTTTTAGGGAGTGTTACATCGGCCTCATGCTCTACCTGGGTTAGGTAGCCCCGTCCTTGTGCTCGGCTTTGAGTTAGTGGCCTTGGCCACGCGCACAGCTTTAAACAAGTGGCCTTGTCCTCGTGCTCGACCTTTGGCAAGTGGTCTCGGCCTAATGTTCAACCACATGCTCTTTAACTATTATTTGGAATATGGATGCTTAATTTTTTATACGATTTTAGCATGTTATGATATTGTACTGTTAGGTTTCACTATAAAGTTATACCGAAGAGTCTTAGAGTTCATCAATTATGGATATCATATCATTTCAATATGTGTGGTCCATGATAGGTTCTTGTATCTTATTGGATCACAAACCATCACGTCCCGCATTCACCCCTAGCCACACACTACGCGACATTTATGTTCCCCCTTGTAAGAAATCGCCATTCAATACATTTGTATTGTTAGAAATGCCTTGAATCTGTATTCTAGACTTATGAGGATTACGACTAGGAATAAAATTAAGATTATCTTTCATATTCTCATCTTTATATATGTAGTAGGATTAGGATTACCCATATCCCCTTTTCTATATATACAGCTTGTATTTGTACTCCTCAATTCATGGTAGAGAGAATCTGTGATCTAGTGAGAAAGTACTAATCAATAAAAAAATTATCTTGTGACCGTGGAGGTTACTAACCAGTTGTTAGTAAACCACGTTAAATCTATGTCTTTTTCGTGATTGTCGATTATTCGTTTCATACTTTCTCGCGTCTGTTATAACATGTATAAGAAAATAAGGACTCGTCTAGTGACTTTTGGAGGAATGATATGATATTGTTATGAAATCTAAAAAAATAATATAAATTCTGAATTCTGAAAAGAATTTGTTTGGAAAGATTTAAGTATGTTTTAATTAGTAATATGCAAGAGAGGCTAGCAACAAGGGTGGTTGGCGGTGGCAACGATAACCAGTGGCGCGGGTGGTTGACGGTTGAGGGATATATATCAAACCACCATATATATCTCCCCAATTTGAAATTTTTTGATATTTGAAGATACCAAATTCAAGTTTTTTTTGATTTGTATGTTTCACCAGACATCATTTCTTTTTTATCGAGTAATATAATAATCCAAATTACATGTCCTCACCAAATGGACAATAAATATTGGAATATGTTTGTACATATCTTACACTCCCTCCGTCCCTGAGTGTTTGTCCACTTTCATTTTTGCACACCATCCAATGCACTTCTTTAATCCATTTTATCTTGTAATTTGTATATTAAAAAATTATAAAAATTATATATTAATAATCTATATGTTAAGACGAATCTAACAAGATCACACATGACTATTTTAGAATTACACATTGAGAGAATTTGATAAGTCAAAGTGCTTAGATGAACAGTTCCAAAAGTCAAAAGTAGACAAACACTCAGGGACGGACCAAGTATTAATTTGTTTCCTTATAGAAGTAGGATTCTATATATGTTTCCTAGTATGTTTTGGAAACTATTGTTGTGTGTGTGTGTGTGTGTGTGTGTATATATATATATATATACACATACATACATACATGTAGATTGTATCAATAAATTAAGTTATTCAATTCCAAAATTCTACATGGTATCGGAGCGATTCTTGGGAAAACCATAAGACTACCGCACCCATATACGTTTGTTCGGCCGCCGCTCGTTCCAACCCCCGTCTGTCCGTCATTCAGCCGCCGTTCGTCCGCCGCTGACATCTCAGCCGCCGTCCATCACCAACATCATGACAACCGAAACAACCAAAAAGACATGGTTGATTCATGATCCGTCCACGATTTATTGTCTTCATCCGTCACAACACGCTGGAAACGCCTTGACAAAATACCTACTCAAAAGTGATAATTATGAGGTTTGGGAAAAGCCCATACGCAATGCTCTAGGGGGGCGTGGCAAGGCTATTTTCTTGGTACCAGATGGTGTTCCCGAACACAAAGATGAACGAGAACTCGCCGCTTGGGAATCTAACAACTCTATCATCTGTAGTTGGATTTTCAATAGCGTGGATGAGTCTATTCAGGCAAGTATCGTCTCTGACTCCGTTGCTTCAGTTTTGTGGGCAGATCTGAAAAAGAGGTACAGTACCTCGAATGGCCCTCGTTTTGTTTTCTTATAGAAGTAGGATTCCATATATGTTTCCTAGTATGTTTTGGAAACTATTGTTGTATATATTATACATGTAGATTGTATCAATAAATTAAGTTATTTAATTCCAAAATTCTACAATAAATATCCCCTATTTTCAATATGTCATTTTGCGATTAGCTTTTTAAAGCCTGCATTGGTAGCTTAGATGGTCCTAAGGGAGGATGTCAAAACCAAGGTCTCGAGATTAAATCCTGGTAGTGTGGAAGTTTTATCTAATGTAATATCTTCTTGTGCGCACCGGACACGGGTGAGACCTTTCTAAGAACTAGATTAGGATTGTATCATGATTTAATTCTCTTACTATCATGTTAGGTCAGGGTGTAAAGGCACAAACAATGGGCCTTCCACCTTTTTTTGGAAATAACTTTTTAGGCCCAGTTCTTTTAGGTTAGAAAAATTAACTTCCAACTTTTTCCAACTTATTCTAGTTTTTTCCAACAACGACTTAAAAAATATATTTATATAAGATGAATATACAATAATATTATATACCCAAATTTATAACATACCACCTCAAACACTTACATTGAGGCATTCTTTTTTATCCAATATTATAGTTTTTTACATGTTTTTGGGTGATCATTTAATTGATTGACTTTTCAATACTTAAATTCTTCCGACAGTTTCCAACTTCTTCTTGTTTCTTCCAACATCCAACTCTGAAATTCCAACTCTAAAAAACATGGCCTTACTCGGTAATAAATACTCCCTTCGTCCAAAAATTATATTCCCGTTGCGCGTTACGTATTTGACTGAAGTTATTTTCAAATCATTTTATATAAAAATTAGTGTAGAATTAAAAATAAAAATTACATACTAAAAACTACATTAAAAAATCTACAAAACTAAATATGACATGACTATATTATTTTATTAAATGAACAATGAAAATAGACCAATAAAATAAATAAAATTTAATCATGTGAACAGTGAATTGAAAGATAATTTTTAAACGAATCGAAAATCAAATTTAAATCATACCGGAGGAATGTACCGAGTTTATATTTGTGATAGTCGACTTTAATGAGAAGTTGGTCAAAGTTTGTTTCGAAATGATCAAATTATCCATCACACCATTTGCAACATGTCGTCGTAATTTGCAGTTTCGTGAAGGGAGGAGAGACCCAATTGCTTATGTTATAATTTTAATTTGGGCTAAACTTTGTTAAAAGGCTTTAAGCCCAAATATCTTGTCAACATAACCGAATTTAATGCGGAGTAACACTCGTACAGTTGTACTACGTACGCGGTGCATCTATTAAGGAACCGAACGTAATAAAACTTACTTAAATTCTTTCAAAAGAGAGTGCCACCAAATGGTGCTACTATGGGTGCATCAATGCTTAACACAAACAAACATAGATAATAATTGTATGTGCGACACAGACAATTATCGTCTGTGTTTGTCTGTGTGAAGCATGGGTGCACCCATGTGGTGACACCCTAGCATTTTCCTCTTTTAAAAGCTTAAATACTTATATTCTTTCAATTTTTTAGTTCTTTCAGTTTCTTCTATTTTTTTTATTTTATTTAATCTTTTTTTATGGAATATTTCTTAAATAATGACTATAAAAATGATGTGTTGTTCATGTATTGTTATTACTACTATTATTATTATTCTTATTTTTCGTCTTCTTCTAATTATTATTATTAGTATTATTGATACATTCATAACTTTAGTTTATTTTTCAATTTTTATTTTTCTCATGTCATTTTTTGTAATTCACACTCATTATTATCTTTCTTCCATTTTCATATAATAATACGAAGCATTACACTTTTATTGAGATTTTTTTTATTAATTCATATGACACTAAACGATGTTCTAAAAATTAGGTATATTTTATTAATATAAATGGACCTCGGAAAAATGTCAATGTTCAAAATTAAAAAAATAATTATACTACCCTCTCTATCCCTAGTTAAATGGCATTTATAGTATTCACGTGGTTGAATGTTATTGACTTTCTTTAACCATTATATATGATTGTTATAATAATAATAATAATAATAATAATAATAATAACAATAACAAAAACAATAATAATTATAATAAGAGTAATATGCAAAATACATTTATATAACTTTTTGAAGTTTCTCGTAGTTTTTTTCAATTTTTTCTAGCTTTCTCTAGTTTCTTACAGTTTTAAAAAAACTACAAAATCTCATGCCTTAGAATTATTATATTTAAAAATTGAACAAAAATTATACATATAAAATATTGAATGAATAAAGTGAGCCAACTATTTTGTTATTAACTAAATTAAACGGAATAAAATATTTGAAAAACAAGATGAAACATCAATTGAAAGAAATAAGGTCTAATAGTTGAAGGTGGGTGAGAATAGAAAAATTGGTTGAATGGTGATGTAAGAAAAGTGATAAGATTAAGGAGGGAAAGTGAAAATAAATGAGGAAAAGTGTTTGAGCGGGGGGGAGATTAGATATAAAAAATTAAGTCTTTGATTATACACTATATTAAAAATATAGTACTAATTTTAGTTTTAAGTTACAAAATCTAATTAAAACAATTCTATTTAAAAAAAACTCCCCTCATCTAAGAAAGAATGCTACATAGCGCAAAACAAAGCAAAATTTTAAGTTTTTTAAATTTATTTTATTTAAAGATTGGTATAGAAATAAAAAATATTTACATATTTAAAAAAATACGTCAAAAGTTTTTAAAAATAAGAGGTTACAAGAATAATAGTTTATTTTATCAAATAATCAATGATAACGCACAAATAAATAAAATTTCCGTAATTTCTAAATAGTGAAGTGTCATATTCTTTTTGGCAAGAAAGGATTATATGACGAATTGTATGGAAAAAATTAGATTTATCCTAATTTCATTTAATTACAACAAATTTTATTAGTTTGGGAGTTAATTTGATTAGTTTCAAACCAATTCACTTAATATTACTTAATAACTTTAGATGTTAGTGTTTGCGTTTTGAAAATGCTCTCTATGTTTTATAATTTTCAAATTTGATCTATACTATTAAACTTAGGTATAAAATTGATTATATTTGACTCTATAAAATTTAATTTTATAATTTTAACCAACACACTCAAATAGTATATAAATTTTGCACTGAATTGAATATAATTCATTTAATTTCATTCAACTTTACCAAATTTTATTCAATATCTTTGCATTTATAAACATAAATATATTAGTAGATGGGAGAAAAATTTGATATATGAAAACTAAATTTTAAAATCAATTTAATTATATCAAATTTATATTATAATTAAATACTCTATCCGTTCCAAAAAAGAGTTCCTATTTTGACCAAGTGTAAAAATAAGGAAGTGTTAAATTATAGTTGACTTCTAATTTTGCCCTTGATGTGATGTATAAAAGTAAGATGTGATGGATATATTATTAGAGGAAAAAGTATGATGTGATAGGTAGAGTATGAAAAGGTAATGATAAAAGTGGTTTTTTAATAGAAAGTAGAAATTTTCTGCTGGAAGTGGAAAAAATAAAAGAGGAAGTGTTTTTGAGAACGAAGAAGGTATATATTTTTTAATAATTTGTAGTCCAAATATGTAAAATATGACTAAAAAGTAAAAAAAAAGAAGATTATTTAGGATAGAGATAATAATATAATTAGAAAAAAATATAAAATAATATGAGGTATTGAATTGATGATAGATTAATAAATGTGATAAAACATAAAAAAGAACATGGATAATTAAATTTTAATTAGAAAATAATTTTTATATATATCCAAAATATAATTGATTGAAACATATCCGAAATAAAAATATATCCGAATCGAACTAGATCCGAAACTGTAATAAATCCAATCCAAATTATATCTAAACCGAAATATATCCAAACCGATTTATGTTCAAATCGTATCTGAACCGACTCGAAACCAAACTGAAACTGTATAGAACCAAATCAAAACTGAATCAAAATTAAATCGATCTAAATTGAACCGAATCGATTATATCATATATCCGACAGATATCCAAATCGAAAAAAATTCAATCTGAAACCGATACGATTGAGCTGATTGTCACCTAGTGCCTATGCTGAATTATTAATAGGGAGCACAAAAAGACACAAGAATGGAAAGGCATGCGAATTTAAGAGAGACAAGAGTGCTCATTCACTGTGTCTGTATAAATGAAAGGGACCATAATTGACCAACCCTTATGTCTTCTTCATTTTTGGGTGAGGATATAATTGACCAACCTTACTACTTCCTCCGTTCTCAAAAACACTTCCTATCTCATTTTTTCATTTCCAACAAAACACTTCTCCTTTCTATTAAAAAACCAGTGTTACCCTTATTTTTTCATACTATTACATCATACTTTTTCTCTAATAATCAATCCATCACATCTGACTTTTACCCATCACATCAGGAGCAAAATTAGAAGTCAACTATAATTTTACACTTCTTTATGTTACTTACTAATTCCACACTGTACTCCAACAGTGAAAAACATAACCATTTTCCATTTGGGAAATTGGCAAAATACCAGCTGAGAATTTTGTGGGAGCTCAGAGGGGAAAATTTACAACTGTGCTGAAACAGTGTACTTTTTTTTTAACATAAAGATTCACCTCAAATTCAGAACATAAGTACACAACCTTAAATGCAAACACCACTTGTTCAAACATTGGAATGGAAGCTACACTACAGAGTTGGGTAAAACAATTGATTTACAAATTACAATATCAATGTTACAAAAGTACACACACACTTTGGATGCAATTCCCTCCTAAGCCGAGGCATCGTCGTCGTAATAAGGTGTCAACTTACCGTCCTTATTGCCACCACCACAGCCACCAACTTCTTGCAACATTTTGACGACTCTCCGCATGGAGGGCCGGTTAATGGGTAGGGTGCTGGCGCAGAGGAGGCCTATGCTCAATGCTTTGCAGATATCCTCCTTGAAGCAGGAGTCGAGTTTCGGGTCAACCACGTGATCAAACCCGTCCTCCTTCTGGTCCAACGTGGTGCACACCCACTTCACTAAATCCTTCTCCCCGAATTCGGGGTCCACCGGGAGCCTCCCCGTCACCAACTCCAGGATCACCACCCCGAAGCTGTATATGTCGCTCTTCTCGTTCACTCTCAGGGTGTATGCGTACTCTGCAACAATGCACACCCAACAACAAATGTAATGTCTAGGGAGCGTATATGTAGGCAGATCTTACCCTTACCCCTATAACTTAAAAAATCACTAAAACCACAAAAATTTCTTGTCCAGTTTTTAAAAAATGTTATGTTATGTTATGTTATGTTTACCTGGTGCAATGTAACCACAGGAACCGGCGATGCCAGACATCGATTTTGGTCCTCTGTCACTTGAATCGACTGCCTTAGCCACGCCAAAATCAGCCACCCGGGCACCAAAATCCCCATCTAGTAGTATATTATTCGACTTCACGTCTCTATGCACAATTGGAGGAGCACAGTCGTGGTGCAGATAGGACAGACCCTCCGCGGCATCCATTATTACCTTAAACCTCATAGGCCAATCCAAAAGCCCACTTTTGGTGCTGTGAAGTAAATCGCCCAAGCTTCCGTTTGGCATGTACTCGTAAACCAAAAGCTTGCAGTCCCTTGTAATACATGAACACAAGAGCTTGACAATGTTCTTGTGCCTGATTTTCCCTAATGTCTCAATCTCTGCTTCAAAGCCATCATCTTGACGAGAACCACCTTTCTCAATGTCTTCGTCGTCTTCAAACTTTGTATTTCTCTCCATCTTTTTCACTGCAACAGCCTCCCCATTGCTCAGCACGACCTTGTACACCTTTCCGGATAGTCCACTTCCAATGACATTATCTTCATCAAGAGCATCTAGAATCTCGTACTCGTCGAAACCAAGCTTGTGAAATGACATTAAGGTCCATTTTGATCTGTCAATGTCCTTTTTCGTGTTCTTGAAAGTCTTGTACTTCCAATAGAACCAAATGATCCCCACAATAAGAACCAGCCCAGAAAACACAAAGATCGATATGAATAGCCAATAATAACCAATGTTTGTTTCATCACCTCTCCGATCACATAACCTTCCAATGTTTCCGCACAGCCTTGAGTTTCCCAAGAAGCTGTTCTTGTACATTTGGTCGTCGTAAAAAGATGGGATCTTGCCAGAAAGTCTGTTATCAGACAAGTTGAACTGATTGAGCTTCAACTTCTGTAATTCAGCTGGAATTTTTCCCGAAAACTGGTTTCCCGACAGATCAAGATAATTCAAAACAGACAAGTTTCCTATTTCGGGAGGAATATCCCCAGAGAATTCATTGTTTGCTATGTTCAATTCAATCAACATCTTCCAAGAATGGATTCCGGAAGGAAGCTCACCTGATAGTTTGTTGTTCTGAAGATTCAATTTTGCTAGCAGCCCAAGATTCAGTATGGTAGGAGGTAACGGCCCAGAAAACTTGTTGTCGTTACCCCGAAACTCAATAAGCTTATCAAGAAAGCCAATCTCCGCCGGAATGGGGCCAGAGAAATTGTTCCTTGACAAAACCAAAGCAGACAAATTTGCAGCACCGGCAATGGTTTTGGCAATTTCGCCAGAAAATGAGTTGTCTGCCAGCTCAAGTAAAGAGACATGGGGCAATCCCCAGAAACCGATCGGAACATTGCCGGATAAATTGTTGTGGGTCAACCTAACCCGTCTTAAGCTCCGGCAAGAACCCAAACTAGGTGGGATCCCACCGGAGAAGGAGTTGTTTATGATCAAAAGGTAACTCAGTCTACCCATTCCGCACAAAGTTTCAGGGATTTTGCCGGAAAAGTCATTGTCAGAAACATCAATGAAGGTTAAGTGTGAGTTTCTGCCGAGATTTTTGGGTAAATCTCCTCTCAGACTATTGCCGAAGATCCGTAACTCGTATAAATTCGGCGACTCTGCAATGCTCTCCGGCAACTCCCCTTCCAAGTGGTTCTCGTATATATTGAGCGACCCGAGCGGTAGCTCACACAGCTCCCCGGGAATGGCTCCTCTCAACTGGTTCATCGACGAGTCGAATCGTCTCAGTGCCGTCATCTTAGACCACCCTGCCGCCGGGAGCTCTCCGGTCAACGAGTTCGAGTAAAGCTCAATTTGGACGGCACTGGTCAACTCGGTCAGCCAGCTCGGGAAGGGACCGCTCAGATTGTTTATAGCCACGTCGAAATTGATGATCCTAGTGAGTCGACTCAGTGAGTCGGGAATCTCGCCGATCAAGTTGCAGCTCGTGAGCCATAGGCACTCGAGATTCGTGAGGTTTCCAAACTCGGGAGGGATCCGACCCGGGTAAAACGGGTTGTACGAGAGATTCAGCTGTTTCAGAGTCGAAATGTTCCCCAGAAAAGCGGGAATCGTCCCTTCGAACAGATTCGAAACCAGTCCCAAAACCTCGAGCTTCGGGAAGGCCCCAAAGATTGACGGGATTTCGCCGGAGAAATTATTCCCGGTGACGTCGAGATATTTCAGGTTGGGAAGCTGGGCCAAGCTCGCCGGAAGCGGCCCAGACAAGAGATTCTGAGCCAAATCAAGGTGCTCCAGGGACCGACAACCCGACAACCCATCGGGAAGACTGGAATTGATGAAGTTATTGTACAAGGAAACGAACCTCAAATCCCGAAGCCGGCAAAGAACCGCCGGAAAAGGACCGTAAATATTAGCATTAGAAAGGTCGAGCGATCTGACAGCGCCGGACACGGAATCACAGCCAACGCCGTACCAATCGCACGGCGAGTCGTCGGTGGCGTTCCAGCTCGAGAGGGCACCACTGGGGTCGCCAAACCCGAGCTTCGCGGTGTACAGGTAAGCGACTTCTTGATTGAGGGAGGAAGTGAAGCAGGAGAAGAAGAGAACAGCAACAAAGATTCTGAAAATTAGCATTTTTTTTTTGAAAGCAGCTTAGCTTCTTCTGTGAGCTTGAAGGGACAAAGAAGAAGAAGAAGAAAAGAGGGTCATTGAGAAAAATGAGAGTGGCGATTATGATTGATCGGATCAAAGAATCTTGAAAAGGAATGGGCTCTGGTTTTTCTAGTGTGGGAGAGACAATGGTCGTTTTAGATCAAGAAAGTGTATAGTGAGATTCTGTATGCAGAAATTGACATATCAAACAAAACAAAATGTATACAGAATTTGGACGATTTTATCCTAATTATTATGGATCAAATTTTGATAATTGTTTTTTGTTAGAGGTTCAATAGGCAGATTAGGCACCAAGAATGACATTAATATTGACATTATTAGTATATCATAAATAATACTGGGTAGTAATTTTTTACCGACAATAACATACACTCCCTCGACCTAACAATAAACTCCCAATTACTATTCCGAGTTCTCGATAACTTTTTGTATGTATAATTTCATTAATTATTTAATACGGAATATATATAAAATATTCTTTTCACATCTTCTTTTATAGAACTTTTAATATAATTTTGAATAATATAATTTATACTTTTTTATGATGTATCAATTTGTAAATATAGTAATTTAAAAAAAGATGAGATTTTACTGGTTTTGAGTATTTTCTTTAAAAGTGAGAAGAAAATTTGAATATGAATAGCAGGAGAGAGACCAGATTGGGGCATGGTGTCATGAATGGGGCAGGGGTTACAAGGATAATAATGGCAATGGTCCGTCTGTGGGGCAGGATTTCTATCTATCTTTGCTTGCATGGGGTTGCCCTAGAGAAAAAGATCCACTTGAAATTGCATATTATTGCTCATCAAAGACACTAAAAAAAGAGTGTGGAAAAAATCTTTGAGAATTGAAATGTGATCCAAGTGCACGTACAAATTAGGGTTCAAACAAATTAAAAGGGATGCACTTGTCCAAACAAAAATCATGCTTTATGATTAACTTTACACTCAATGCTTTACCACTCATATATATATATTGAGGAGATCAACCATCCACGCACCAAATCATTCTCCTTTTTCCTTTTCCTTTTTTTCTTCATTCTCTTTTCTTGACCAATGCCCGGCCACTTGTTCCCATATACTCCATGTTTTGTGTTTTGGGTGATTGTGGTTTACATTGAAGAATCATGAAATTTCAACCAAAATTGGATTCTCATACCTTAGTCTTCTGAGCCATGCTAGAAGAATCCCACCTTACCTCCCACTTTTGACATAGTCTTCGTAGACAATACAGACACGGAACACTGTTCTGTGTCTGTAACATCTAAAAAGTAATTGGATCAAAAGTAGGATGTGAGGTGATATTCATATAATTTATTTCTAGTCTTTTAGCATTGGATAGTCTACGTGGGCTTTTTTTTAATCGAATAGAAGTGGGCTCTTTTTTTAGTTAGCTCTTAAGTCTTATCCTGATGAAGTATGTTCTACTTCTTCCGTTTAGAATAAATGAAATTTGCACTAAATAGTATTAAAACATATGTCATTTCCCAATGTAGTACTTAAACTTTTCTATTCTTTAAATAGTACTTGAATAATGTCTAGTAGCGAAAACAATGTCCAGTGATGGTGGATATTTAGTTTGAACAATGTCTTGTGGCGGTTGACATTTATTTGAACAATGGTACTACATTGGAAAATAAAAATATATGATACTACATTGGAAAGTCACTATGCTTTAATACTGCGGAGTATTTAGGTAAATTCCCCTTAGAATAATTAAATCCTTTTTTACTTCATGAAAATTAAAAAAGTGTTTTTAAGATATTGAAAGGATATAAAAAAAATCTAAGAATATGTTATGTAAATTTGTTTAGAGGAGAAAAACATATTGGAGGATATATTTTTGGAGCATGCTACATGTACCCAAAATTTGTAAACCAAAAATATGAAACAACATTTTGATGGTTCACACTGACACAAAGTGTTGGTGCGTTAACAAAAATTTACACTGACACAAAGTGTTGGTGCGTTAACAAAAATTTACACTGACACAAAGTGTTGGTGCGTTAACAAAAATTAGCATTATACCAACACAAAATATTGGTGTATCCCTGCGGTGTACAAAATGGGATATAAATCCTTGGAGTACAAATATCTTTATCCTATATTTTTTCTATAAAAAAATATGGATGAATTATTTTGGAAAGAATGAAAAAGGTGGTAATAATTATTTTGAAATGGAGGAAAGATATTACGGAGTAGAATGCTTTGTGGACCGAAAGTTCACACCATTTTTTAATAGATCGCCGATAAGAAACAAATTCTATTTCTGTTTTCCAAAATATTTAAAATTTAAGCAAACATCACTCGGGCATTTTCTTAAAGCTCACCTTCTGACCAGGGCAAAGATGTCCATAACTAATTTCATATTGTAGGGAGGACTATGGAAACACTTTACTCCTGCATCACAGGTCACTGCCATTTGTGCATGCCATTTTGTAGGACACTTTGGGCGTGTTTGGTTCAAGGGGAAGGAATGGTAAACTCAAAATCTCAAATACTGCCTTAAGCTCGAAGGGTCAAGCTACAATGACACATTGATGACACCAGTGTCTCACACACACAGTCATTGTATATTTGTATGTATCAGCATAGACACAACGATGTCATCAATGGTGTCAAACTCTGGTGTTAAATGAACGAACGGTCATGTTCAGACACACACTCCGGGCTAACACTCCATAAGTTCAGCAGTGAGCTGAGAGTGTAGCAACTCAGTAGCTTCCCTCACCTTCTTCCTGTCCCAAAAAGAGGCCAAAACAGCACTCCATATTCCTTTCCCAGGTATGCATCCATCAATGGCCATCTCCTCGACGATACGACAAGTCTTGTGCAGATCTCCCTTCTCACAAAAGCAAGTAACAAGAACTTCAAACGTCTTCTCCTCAACTGAGATTCCTCTGCTCCTCATGCTCAAATACAATTGAAAAGCCCGTCTCGGATCATTCCCAGCATGGGCAACTAGTCCTTGGACCAATGTGTTGTGCATCTTCACATGAAGGGTCCAAGTTACCCGATTCGGAGTGACCCTACCAAGAACCATCTCATCTAGATAGTTAGCTGCTTCCTGGAACTTGTTACTCTCGCAAAATAGACTTATCAAATTCCAGTACAACCCCGCGTCGGGTTGCAATCCCTGAAGCTTCATTCTGTCAAAAATCTCCAATGCTTCGCGAAGCTTGCCTTCTCTGCATAGTCCGTGGATTAAGGTGCTGTAAGTTATTATATTTGGCACCTTGTGTTCGGTGATCATCTTCTCCATCAGCTCCATGGATTCTAAAGAGCGTCCGTTCTTGCAGAGACCATCCATGAGACAACTGTAAGTGAACACGTTAGGATCGACATGTTTTGTTCTCATAACTTCAAGCAATCTCACGGCTCCATCCAAATCATTACATAGACAGAGACCATGAATCATAGTGGTATAGGTTATGACAGTAGGTAAACATCCTTTCGCTTCCATCTCCACGAAAAGCTCTTTTGCTTCAAGAATCCTCCCTAGTTTACAAAGCCCACTAATCATTGTTCCATAAGTGAACGAATCTGGACTGCACCCATGCTTAGACATCTCACGGAATATACGAAAAGCAGAACCCAACGTTTTTTCGTTCTTGCAAAGTGCTTTGATGAGAATGTTGAGTGATGCAGTGTTTGGTGGGATGCCATTTTCCCTCATGTAACGGTAAAACTTAAAAGCCGTATTCAACCTGTTTTCGTTCACAAGAATGGAGAAAACCGTGATGTAAGACTTCTGGGTAGGTTCGCAATGGTAAGAATCCTTCATGTTCTGGAAAACTCTCACCACATCAAGTGGTTTGTGAACCCTGCCATATGCTCTGTACAAGGAGAGGAACACATCCTCTGTAACCTTGCACTTCTCCTTCACCATTCTGGCGAGCATTTCCTCGGCGGACGCGAAGCGGTTTGCAGAAAGCAACCGTTGGATTATAGTTCGAAAAGTGGTATGGTCGTGGCGGAAGCCATTGCTGTACTCCGCGCTTGCAGCGTCGAATATCAGAACGGCTTTGTGAATGTCTTTTTCGGCTTTGATCAACTGCTCGACCAGTCCTGTTGTGATTTCCTTAGGCCACTTGATCGATGTCTTGCTACCCATTAACGCGCCCTAAGTAAAGAAAGGTTAATTGCAAACTTAGAATTTGGAAGAGGCATTTCGTCGAACAGGTAGACGTGCTGGCATATTAGTAAAAGGATTAACTAGTTCTGATCAAACCTTGAGGGATCAACGGCGGAGAATTGTCCGGTTGTGCCGTTATGGGCTCCACCCGGCGGAGCTCCGGCTGAGCTTCGAAGCAAAACTGAGTTTCGCAGTAGATCTGGTTGACTGTGGATTGAGATTTGAGAGTAAGTGTTCTTAGTTCTTACAAACACTTTGGGAGAGTTTTTGGAGAGCAAATGACGACTGAAAGTGATACGAGTACTCAAATTCTGCTCACTTTTTTTTTTGAAACACTTTGTGCTCACTTCTTTTAAAATAAATTATCAAAATAAGGACTAGAGAATATTATTCAATAATTATATATTTTTCCAAATTGGTTTTTAAGATTAATAAATTTAAGAAGCGGTATTCGTTAATTAAATTTCAAGAATAATGTTAAATTTAGTCATCCGATTAATGATCATCAAAATAATGTCAAAACTTATACTGATTTGCTAAAATAGTCATTTCTTTGTGAGTTCTTCTAAATTAGTCCATTTTTATAATAATAAACAAATAATTTTGAATTTTATAAGATGAAAATATAATAAATAAAATTATAAATATAACTGAATAAACTTGAAAGCATGCTTTTTAGATTGAATGATACTCCGCATTATTCAGAAAATATCATTAAATAAAATATTTAATAAACAATTCCATCAGTTCTGAAATACAACTACTTCAATTTACGATGTTTGACCGAAATTATTTTTAAATAAATATAACTAAAAATTGGTCTAGAATTTTCTGCTGGCACTCGTTTTATTTTAGGACAGAGAGAGTATTATAAAATTAAATTCAGTTCCAGAAATAATAATTTTCGTGAAGTTTGTAATTCTTCTCAAAGAAGTGAAGAACTGATAGTTAGCACCATGTACAGTTTCATTTTCATACACAAAGAATTACTCCATATGCAGTTCATATTATTCTCTATTCGCCTTCATAAATCTCAAACACACAATCTGAGTTTATGTAAATAACCGTGTTGCCTCAAACCCAAAAAACTTTTAACGGGATGCAGGAAATAGCAACTAATTAGTCTCTGGGCACAAAATGAGGATGTGAATGTTAGTAATGTGCACAAAGACAGATTATACCCATTGAAATTGCAAATATTGGAAAACCACTTGACAAGAGCTCATTCGTTCGTTCACTTAAGCAAGCAATTTGTTGAGACCAGCCTTCTGCTCTGGTGTCAATCGTGTAGGGAATTGGATGCTAAACTTTATCCTCAAATTCCCTCTCTTTGATGGATCTTTAGGTATTGGCATCCCTTCTTTCGGGACCACCTCTTCGTAATTCGGGTGTACGATAGAATTTACGGGCACTGTTAGGCTTCTTCCGTCCAGCGTCGCCAGGTGGACGGTATAACCTGTCAATGCTTCAACAAGTGTCACTCTCTCCACAGCAATGAGATCGTTCCCTTCTCTTGTGAATCTGTTGTGCGGTTTTTCATCGATTATGAAGACCAGATCTGCAGGGATCACGTTTGGCTCTTCGTTCCCTTTTCCCGGGAATGTGATCTTTGTTCCCTTCTTCCAACCAGGTTTGATTGTTATGGTTAATATCTCTTCTACCTGCATAGTTGACCTGCCCAATGAAGGCGGGTAAGTGTTACTAAAATCAATTACAGATAACATTTTATTGGGGTTTTTTTCATCTGCATGTATAAACTACTCAAGTCATCTCTGCCCTTTGAGACAATTACATATTTACATCTACCTCCCCCAGGTTTGATCACATTGAAGCTTTCTGAATATTATGGTTGAGCTCCTTGGAAAGTAATATTTTTCACAAATGACCCTTTTAACAGTGAAATATTATTCCAGTAGAATATATAGTGATATCAACAAGACTGCGCTTACTCAAATCAAATCTGGCGTTATACAATGCATTTTATTGACTAAAAAGTATTTAGAGCACCTATAAAAAGAATATTAGGGACACAAATTGAGGATAGTTAAGTCCAGAAAAACTCAATCCAAACTAATATCATTAAATCCTGCATATCCTATCAAGGTTAGGCTATCATGACATCGTCCTTCGGTGTGTTTTGAGGAAAATCTGACTGCTTAAGAGAGTTCTTTTTTAATTTTAAGGAATTTCCAGTCATTTGGTAATTTGCACAAACTCGGGAAGATAGATGAAATCGTGTAACTACACTTCTACTATTGTGCACAACTATGCATTCTTGGTCACTTGTGATCTTTCCTACCACTATTCCAGCAATTTTCTGTGCACTTCCCGATTGACTTATGCCAAATACTCCCTCCGTCCCGAAATAGATTACAATATTCCCTCACATTTTTGTCCCAAAAAAAATTACAAAGTCAATAACTTTACAAGGAATTGACTCTTTTACCCTCCCACTCCTACACTATTCACACACTATTCATCCATGTGAGTGAGAAGGATACTTGGGGGATTTGGGGGTAATTTGGGGGGGAAAAATTTGATTTGACTCTTCCTTAATTTCTACAAAAAGGGAATATTGTAATCTAAAGTGGGACGGAGGGAGTAAGAAATAAGTGATGAGAAAGGACCAAATGTGGCAGTAAATCCATAGTAATGCACCTAGAGCAGAAAAATTGACAGTAGGAGACCAAAAATGGGAATAACCTATAGTCGTGAAACCAAGAAAGAAAAAACGAAAAACGACTTACCCACTAGCATCAACTATCTCCCTTGAGATTTTCATCTTCTTGGTGGTTCCCTTGTAGAGCTCTTCAAGGCTACAAGGCAATTTCCTTTCAATCGGCGATGCTTTCCGTGGCCCTGCGGAGTTCATTGATCGGCTCTCGCCGAATGAACTAAACATATCATCCCCAAATAGTGAAGTAGGGAATCTTGAAGTGCCTCCTTTCATCCCACTCCCACCACCTCCCATCCCACCAAATGGACTTCCCCCAAAAAATTCAGCAAAAATATCATTTGGATTCCTGGGGTTAAATCTAAACACATTTGGTCCGTCCCCTGAATGGAAGGACGTTGACCCACCCCATCCGCCCGCATCTGTTGGTGGTGGTACCTGACCTTTAAGCCCTTCTTCACCGTATTGGTCATACACTGCCCTCTTCTGTGGATCACTTAAAACCTATCAGAACATAGAGTCGTCATATATCCGAGTAAAGCATCACAGATACACAATCTGTTTGATCCATTGCAAACATGACATCACACAGGATTGCAGTTTTGAGCAAATCAATTCATTAGCCGAATATTAACCTCAAACCCGTGCTTCGTATTTCACTTTTTTTGTTACCGGAGTAATTTTTTTATTGATCCACTTACAGAAACATAATGATAATGACATAAATGCAGATGCCACATCCAATCCAACATAAGATTTAAAAAAAACAGAGTATTTCATGACAAGCAGAAGAAACCCAACAAGATGTTTTGGTTCTTCCATTAGTCACTTAACTAATTCCATTACAGACATATCAAGGCAAGTCGATAAGATGTTGCAATCCAATATCATCATTACCACTGTCTCTAATCCAGATATTGGAATTGCACAGATATTTCTCATTCGATTGAATAATTTCCGAATCAATCTTGTGATAGTACCAACCAAGAAGCTGTTTTCGATTCACTAACGAAATCTAGAAAAATTCCAAGACGATAGATCTACACTATGTATTATAGCATCAAGATCAATTACGTGTGAATCCAAACATCTCAAAAAAATGAAGAAACCGGATCTATGAATTAGATCAACATACATCGTAAGCTTCAGAGATCTGCTTGAATTTAGCCTCGGCGTCTTTCTTATTGTTCGGGTTCTTATCAGGATGCCATTTCATAGCCAATTTCCTGTAAGCTTTTTTCAACTCATCGTCGCTTGCATTCTTATCCACCTGCAATATCTTGTAGTAATCGACCCCCATCAGCTTCTCCTTGTTCTGAAGATTAAACCTCGAAGTTAAAACTCGGAGAAATGCGACTCGGACCCTCTTCGTCAAGCTTGATAACACTGGAGCAGAGAAGATGCAAAGGACGTCCAAATCTGCAATGCATGAGCTAAATTCAGGATCTGCACTTCTCTGTTCGCCGTTTCAATTTTGTACGCCTTTCCCTTCCAAAACAAATTAATGCCTTCTATTTTTGACTGTTTAGGGATTTTGGAATATTTACTACATCCATCGCAGTCTATTACTCCTTCCGTCCGCTATTAATGTTTACGTTTTGACTTTTGGTTATTTTTAAAGGAGGTTGACTTAAGTCTATGAAATGACCAAAATGCCCTTAATGAAGGAAAAAGAAGGGAAAGAAAAAGAATGGTGCGTGTGGCTATGAATAGGAAAAAAAGAGAAGACTATTGGTAGTGGGGAGAAAAACACTATTTAAACATTGTTTTACATCCAATCAAACATTACATAACAATAATTAAAAATGACCAAATACATTAACATTACAAACAAATTTGGAGGTCCCTCCAGTTTTTTCCCTTCCCGCCCAAACCCCCCACCAACAAGGCTAACTCCCTCCACTGGTTATATAAAACCATTGACTTTTCCCTTTTGGCTCCTTCATTCTTCTCCTCCTCCAGGGTGTGACAGCCTCTTTTCTTTTTTTTCTTTGTCTTTTTCACTTTTTGGATCCCTGCAAAATTGATTCAAAATCCATAAATGAATTCCAAAAAACTTGACAAAACTACAAGGCAGTTTATTAGTGAAGGTTTACTACGAAATTCAAAACTGAATAGTGATGGTTTCTATTCAGCTCAGAGGGGGCAGATCAACACGCTTGCTGCACAGTTTAATGTCTCGAGACAGACGATTAGCAAGATATGTGTCATCGTAAAAAAACAATTAGAGCAGGGGATTGCCATTGATGTGAGAAGCAAAATGGCAGGTCATTGTGGGAGGAAAAGGGCAGAAATGGATGTAAATGCCATTGCAGATACCCCCCTCCGGAAGCGGGGTACTATCAGAACATTAGCAGCAGCAATTGGCAAGCCAAAGTCCACTGTCCATCAGTGGATAAAAAGAGGTATGCTTAGGAGTCACACAAATGCTATCAAACCGTACCTTACCGCTGCTAATAAACAAGCTAGGTTGAAATTCTGTTTAGACCAAATAGAACCTTTGAGTATGCCTCACCAACCTATATTCAAGTCTTTTCATAATGTATTGCACATTGATGAGAAGTGGTTCTTTATGACCAAAACATCTCAGAGGTTTTACCTTCTTCCTGAAGAAGTTGACCCCTATAGGACATGCAAATCAAAAAGGTTCATTACAAAAGTCATGTTCTTGTGTGTGGTTGGTAGACCACTTATTGATGATAATGGAGTTGTTCTTTGGGATGGAAAAATTGGCATTTTTCATTTTACTGAAACTGTTGAAGCCAAAAGAA